CCTAGAAGAAAACCTCGGTAATACCGTTCAGGACATAAGCATGGGCAAGGACTTCATGTCTAAAACACCAAAAGCAAAGGCAACAAAAACCAAAATTGCCAAATGGAATCTAATTAAACTAAAGAGCTTCTGCACAGCAAAAGAAACTACTATCAGAGTGAACAGGCAGGCTACAGAATGGGAGAAAATTTTTGCAATCTACTCATCTGACAAAGGGCTAATATCCAGAACCTACAAAGAACTCAAACAAATTTACAAGAAAAAAACAAACAACCCCATCAAAAAATGGGCAAAGGATATGAACAGACATTTCTCAAAAGAAGATATTCATACAGCAGAGCCTCTGGTACTTTATACAGGGCTCATGATTTGGTGAATGTTTCTTAATCTATACCCATTAAGAGGGAAAATCAAAACAATTTGCCTCATATTAAGAATAATAGCACTGCTTCACTGTTTTATGTCATAGCTATGTCACTTCTGTTCTCAGTGTAATTTACATTTTTTAAAACATTGTGCTAATTAAATATATCAGTAATATTACAGACAGGGCCCTATGGCACATGACTGTAATCCCAGCACTTTAGGAGACTGACGTGGGCAGATCACTCAAGCCCAGGAGTCTGAGACTAGCCTGGCAAACATGGTGAAATCATATCCCTCCAGGAAACACAAAAATTAGTCAGGCGTGGTGTTGTGCCCCTGCAGTCCCAGCTGCTAGCAATGCAGAGGCAGAAGAATCACTAGAGCCTAGAAGGTTGAGGCTCCAATGAACTCTGATCCTGCCACTGCACTCCAGCCTCAGGGATGGAATGAGAACATGTTCAAAATAATAACAATAATAATAATATATTACTTGGTACAATAATCAGGAAATGGAAATTTTCTTAAATATAGCAAAATACCCTAAAGTTGAATGGAAGTAAAATACCAAAAGAAAAGAAATAAACCTGAGAAAATTCAGGAACTTACAATATAGGAGATGTTTTAAAGCCTTCAGTGGCCCTAGTCCACATGTCAAAACAACCTTTGTTAAAGTAATGGCATTTTGCTCTCCCTATATATTTCCTATCACTACAAAAGAGACACAATGTTTTGGGGACCTATTGGGATTTTGGAGCCAACATATTCCACATTTGAAAATATTGCTCTGAAGTCAGGTAGCGTGATGCCTCCAGCTTTGTTCTTTTGACATCACGCTACCTGACTTCAAACTATACTACAAGGCTACAGTAACCAAAACAGCATGGTACTGGTACCAAAACAGAGATATAGACCAATGGAACAGAACAGAGTCCTCAGAAATAATACCACACATCTACAGCCATCTGATCTTTGACAAACCTGAGAGAAACAAGAAATGGGGAAAGGATTCCCTATTTAATAAATGGTGCTGGGAAAACTGGCTAGCCATAAGTAGAAAGCTGAAACTGGATCCTTTCCTTACTCCTTATACGAAAATTAATTCAAGATGGATTAGAGACTTAAATGTTAGACCTAATACCATAAAAATCCTAGAGGAAAACCGAGGTAGTACCATTCAGGACATAGGCATGGGCAAAGACTTCATGTCTAAAACACCAAAAGCAACGGCAGCAAAAGCCAAAATTGACAAATGGGATCTCATCAAACTAAAGAGCTTCTGCACAGCAAAAGAAACTACCATCAGAGTGAGCAGGCAACCTACAGAATGGGAGAAAATTTTTGCAATCTACTCATCTGACAAAGGGCTAATATCCAGAACCTACAAAGAACTCAAACAAATTTACAAGAAAAAAACAAACAACCCCATCCAAAAGTGGGCAAAGGATATGAACAGACATTTCTCAAAAGAAGACATTCATACAGCCAACAGACACATGAAAAAATGCTCATCATCACTGGCCATCAGAGAAATGCAAATCAAAACCACAATGAGATACCATCTCACACCAGTTAGAATGGCGATCATTCAAAAGTCAGGAAACAACAGGTGCTGGAGAGGATGTGGAGAAATAGGAACACTTTTACACTGTTGGTGGGATTGTAAACTAGTTCAACCATTATGGAAAACAGTATGGCGATTCCTCAAGGATCTAGAACTAGATGTACCATATGACCCAGCCATCCCATTACTGGGTATATACCCAAAGGATTATAAATTATGCTGCTATAAGGACACATGCACACGTATGTTTATTGCAGCACTTTTCACAATAGCAAAGACTTGGAATCAACCCAAATGTCCATCAGTGACAGATTGGATTAAGAAAATGTGGCACATATACACCATGGAATACTATGCAGCCATAAAAAAGGATGAGTTTGTGTCCTTTGTAGGGACATGGATGCAGCTGGAAACCATCATTCTTAGCAAACTATCACAAGAACAGAAAACCAAACACCGCATGTTCTCACTCGTAGGTGGGAACTGAACAATGAGATCATTTGGACTCGGGAAGGGGAACATCACACACCGGGGCCTATCATGGGGAGGGGGGAGGGGGGAGGGATTGCATTGGGAGTTATACCTGATGTAAATGACGAGTTGATGGGTGCAGCACACCAACATGGCACAAGTATACATATGTAGCAAACCTGCACGTTGTGCACATGTACCCTACAACTTGAAGTTTAATAATAATAAATAAATAAATAAAGAAAGAAAAAAAAAAAAAGAAAATATTGCTCTGATTCATTAATGACGTTTCCAAAGACTACTGGTCTCAAGTGAAACCCAGAACAAAAGAGGGCTCTATAGCAGATATGGGCTGTGGTCCAAGCTGCTCTGGCCACTGTGCCAGGTGATCCAATACAAGTCAAAGTTGCTAGAGGCATGCACAGTGAGCATTATAGGACTCTGTGCATGTCACTGACAAGCTCGTAGGAGAGGGGGGAATAAATTCCTGGCGAATTATTGCAAGACCATTCCCTCTTCAGCAGAGGAGTAACCTCTGTCTGACAAACTAAACAGCAAGTGCAGAAAATTAATCCAAGCATAGAATCCCTCTAAGCACAAGCCCCTATAAGCACAAAACCCTGTACAACTATGCAAGTCATATGCTCATAAAGTCAGCTGTGACTGGAGGGTATGAGCACATCTCAGTGGCACAAGGAGGGGCGGTATTGGACACAAACATATGATTTCTCAGGTTCCATTCACTGTCTCTTATTCCCCTGGCCAGTACCTGGCCTGATCCAGATCATCCTTCCATTTGGGACTGGAATGTATCACCACACTGCGGGCATTAAGTCTGACTTTCACAACCTCCACCAAGGGACAAGTGATGTAAGACAGAACAGCAGAGCACCTCACTGTGAAGTAGCTGGTTACTAACTCAATTTTTTGAAACGAAGTGCCATTTTTGTTTATATAATAATCAACTAGAATATATCATATTACAAATATATAATTCACAATAGAAAAAAATACATATGCAAATAGACCAAAGTCTTCTATATGCTTTTTAAAAGTATTGTAATAGGTGCCACCTAATTTTGATGTTCTACCTTGTCTCCAATTCAGACACCTGATACAGCTGCATCAAGACTATTGTGATATTTCCCCTAAAATTGTGGAATAGTCAAACTTTTCCTCTGAGGAAGGACTCTTCTTGGATAAGCCGGTAAACTTAAATTGAGACCAGAACAGGGGAATTCATGCAACTGCAGATTTTGTGATGAGTTTCCTATTCTTTGGTTTACCACATTGACTTATCCATTTTATCCACCCATTTATTTGTTCATAAAAATATCATTTTTGACCATCTATTCTTGTTGCTGGGTTTTAGTTCATGGGAGTCAACAGAAAGCAAGAGAGATATGATCTCATTTTTTACGGTTCTGACATTGTACTGAGGGAGATATATGATTAAAAAATACATAAATCAGGTGTGGGGATGATTTATCTTAAGGTTTAAATAAGATCACTAAAATTTTATAACACTGAGAATTGGGAGGCTGAGGCAGGAGAATGGCGTAAACCCGGGAGGCGGAGCTTGCAGTGAGCTGAGATCCGGCCACTGCCCTCCAGCCTGGGTGACAGAGCGAGACTCTGTCTCAAAAAAAAAAAAAAAAAATTTATAACACTGAGAATTAATACAGTCATATAGAATTTAGCTGTGACCAAGACTGTACATTTCTTTCTTATAATAGAACTTCCTAGTAATGAATATATCAACACACTTTCATCACTGACAACAAAATTACAATGTTAAGGCACATCCCATAATTAATATATAGATTTTATAGATACTATTTTAACATTTAAAAAAACTTTCACTGAATTATTTTCCATAATTTCTATAGTATTTTTACATTGATAGGTTTTTTTTTTTAATTAGAAAAGAGAAGATTTGAGTTCTTTTCTCTAAAGTTTAGAAGCAATTTTATAAATAGAAGGTAAGGATATAATTAGCAATTCAGGGGCTTAAAAGTGCTTTAGAAAAAATATGAAAAATAATTTACATCAGAGCTCAATTTCAAAACAAGATATTCTTTAATTCAAACCCTGGAAGAAATGACTTTTGTAATAGCATACATAAGCTGATAATAGCAATCAAGATCATGATCATGATTTTTCATCCCTCTTATAGAATATATTTCTTTCTAAGCTATTCACATACTTGTATGAAATCTAATATTCCTCAGTACAGTTTACGGTAGATATAGAAGAAATTTGCTCTGCATATGCTTGTAACTTAAATTTTATTGTGTGCATTTTTTTCTAACTATTCTGTTTGCTTTTTACTAAACATAAAATAGGACTTCATAATGAAATAAAACCCCGATGATAGATCTTCATTATTGATTTAGAATTGAATGACTTTACCATCCAAAAAGTTAGAGGTTCCAACAATGAATTCTAAGCGCTCTGTGGTATATTTGTGTGGTTCAAATGACAATAGAAAACAGCAGTATTTTTCCTGAGATAAGCTGTTAGTTCTTAATAATTATAAGCAGCCATCATAAATTCTACAAGTGAAACATAAAATACATGTATGAAATAAATCTCTTCCTAATTCTGAGAAATTTTTGTCATATTTTATATAATTTGACAGTTTGTGTGAAAAAACAAAAAAGAGTATGTTATTGTCAATGTTCTTAAGTTTTTCATATCCACATAAACACACACACACACACATATATATACACACACACACATTTTTAGAATAACTTTAGGTAAAACACTTTTCTAGGTATATGTCTGGAAATTACTCATACACATACATTACAGAAAACACAGTAAGAAATAGAAAATGTTTCATACACCACCAGTTTGTTTTCTGCTAGAAGACACACAATGCCCCTCTTGTGAATCTATGGAGATGAAGGCTTCTGTCCTTTCACCCAGTACCTCACTTGCCGCAAAACTGAAAGAAAAGTCTGCTTTAGCTTCTTGTTTCCCCAAATCAGTATGCATGGGTGGGTTGAAGGATAGCTGAATGTAACAGCTTCACAGATCATGAAGAGAGGTTTGTTATCCAGACTCTCAAAACTCAAAGCTGATATGATTAGGAACACAAAGTAAATGGCACATAGCAAGAGGAAAGAGATCACAGTTTGCAAAGCTTTTATGTGGACCTTGGTGCTGGGATCCTGAGATCCTTTGCCATGAAGCTGCATCTTCTTCAGGTGTTTACACAGAGAACAGACTAACAGCAGAAAAGATATTAGGGTCAGAGTGAAGGGTACCAAGTTTACTAGCGTGGTTACAGTTGCATCTGAAAGGTACATTGCACTCCCCACTTTGATCTTCCAAGTCATGTTTCCTTCATATTCTTTTGTCCGTACAATATGATTTATGTTTATGACAAAAAGATGACAAACCAAAAATAGCAAAGGCCCCAACAGCATCACCAGAATGACACTCTTAACTCTCCTCTTTAAGTGAAGGAACATAAGGTTGGAGAAATTGGCAATCTTGAGCAAATAAAATATGCTGAGGCTAGTAGCAAACCAGTTGCTGAAATGGCTGGTTACTGCCCAGAGGTTATAAGCAGTAGTTCTTACGTCTATACTATAAAAAGCTAGATTCAACACACTTGAATTCCAATTTAATAAAAATGCCCAGAGCAAACCAACTCTGGAGACTGCCAGAGCAGTGAGAATTTGGTCAGCAAAGGAGATCTTTTGTCTCTTGACCCACTCAATGCAATTTACCAACGCTATGAAGCCATTAGCAAAATTTCCAATAACAAATGTAACCACTACTAGAATGGAAAAAATGATGTGTAGAAAAGTTATCATGTCTGAACAGACAAAAAGAAATTTTTTAAATGCTGGTATTGTGTCCGGAGTTGGTTCCTGCATGTGGGTTCATGGTCCGGCTGACTTCAAGAATGGAGCCTCGGAGCTTCACAGTGAGTGTTATAGCCCTTCAAGATGGCATGGACCCAAAGAGCGAGCAGTAGGAAGGTTTATCATGAGGAGCCAAAGAACAAAGCTTCCACAACGTGGGAGGGGACCTGAGGAGGTTGTTGCTGTGGGCTGGGGTGGCTAAGTTTATTCCCTTATTTGCCCCCTCCCAGGTTCCATTGCTGTCCTATCAGAGTGTCCCTTTTACAATCCTTCCTGCGATTGGCTACTTTTAGGATCCTGCTGATTGGTGTGTTTTACAGAGCACTGATTGGTGCATTTTACAGAGCAATGTTTGGTGCTTTTTACAGAGCACTGATTGTTGCATTACAAGCCTCTGGCTAGCTGCAGAGTGCTGATTGGTGGGTTTTTAAATAGTGCTGATTGGTGCATTTCACAATCCTCTTACAAGCTAGATAAAAGTTGTCCAATTCCCCCACTCAACCCAAGAAGTCCAGCTGGCTTCACCTCTCAATGTAATATCACTGGTTGTGATTGCTTGAATGTCCTGACCTTAAATTCTATGCATACCTAATTTGTGAATGTGCTGGGTCATTCTTTTACTTTTAAATGTTGTGACCGGTGTCAAGCCATAAATCACCATGGCATGTTAATTGATAAGTTCAATCATCTCTTTACGGAAAACATTCTTATTTTCAAACAACTCAAATTAACTATTTCACTCATGGTCTGTTCTTGTTATAGACTGGAATTATTCATACTGAAATTGACGGGAAACCTGAATCCTCGTTTGCTAGTACACGAATAAGAACAAATTCACTTTCAGTGTTTGAATTTTCTTCCTGTAACCTCTCCATCATTTGTTTTTAGCGACTTCAGTTGTTAGGGAAGTTTTATAACCCAATACAGAAATCATATAGTAAATGTCTAAATCTTTAAAGGGAGCTTGGTCATAACTAAGATCATCACCAATATGGACTTTTTAAAATGCCAGATTTAAATACACAGAATCCAAACTGCTTTTATCAAAAGCATCTAAGGTTTTCTTGAGAACCACAGGCAGGCCAGTACTCCATAAGATCTGCTTGCTGCTAATACTTTTGTATAATTTCATCATTCACAAGCTCATAAATATGCACACAAATACACACACGTGCACACCATTTATGAATGGAACAATTTATTTTCTCATAATTTCCAAAATAGAAAATTAGTTTCCAAGAGGTTGTGCAGATGAAATTAGTCCTATTTTCCCACTCAGAATTTTCAGCCCGTGAATAATATTTATTATCAAACATATCTCTAATTCTTAGGACTTTGGTAAAGTTTCTCTCAAGTCAAATATTTAAACATTTATTATTAGACAAAATATTTATCAATTTTCTAAGAATTCCTGAGTACCAGACGCTTTGATATATAATCTTGCAGTATCCTCCTATCACAGGAAGACCCTCAGTATACAATGAGACAAGTAATAGTAATTTCTATGAGACATTTCTCCTAATTATAAATTTGTATATTAAAGTTGTAAGTCACACTTAGAAATAAACCAATACAAAAATGGGAAATTCAACAATATATCATAAACACTCAAGTAACCATGATGCAGGGCAAGAGGAGGAACATGGAAAACAGTCTAGGTCCATCTGCATGCCACTTTCCTGACATGAAAATGATAATGATTTTCTTCTTTTTGTAATACTTTTGTCAAAGAAGAGAATAAAAGAAAGGTCTAGGCATCCTCCTGCAACTTGGAAGAAACTGGAAATTGATTTGATGTGAATAGTTTTTTTTGGATAGTAGCATGTCTGTTTCTGGGTCATCATCACAAACTCTCCTCACAGGGAAATTCAATTCATATTTTCATGATTTATTTGCTTTTTTTCTTTCACTACATTTTAAAAATTGATAACAAAAGTGACCTGCAACAATTAGGATTCTATTTTGAAGATTTGGGGCATTTTTCAATATGAACATGCATACATACTCTATGCAATAATACATTATATCAACTTTATTTCATCTTTTAATAGCATCATTAGTAAGCCAAATTCTTGCAAATGCTTTTTCCTATTCTTAACCATGGTGACTAAATCTGGATTATTTTACTCTAGCAGTCAAAGTAGCATTAAATATGCATGAACATACTCAAAGATCATGCTAAATAAGTTTCATACCTTAAAAAATTTGCCTATTTATGATTTTTTTCTCTAATGCAGAGCCAAAAAAAGGTAACAAAATACTTTACCCAACACACCAGTGTACACAGGAATAGTATTGTGAAATTAGAATGCTAACAATATGAATATAAATATTTCATTTAGAGAAACATTTTTAATATACTTAATTTAATATATTTAACATCCATCATACTATAATTTATTGGAAATTCATGAATTTCTGACACTTTCAAATGTGTATTTTAATTAGATAATGCCATAGTCAGCTGAAATGATGGCACAGATTTATAATTCTAGGAGTAGTGTATGAAAATTCCCATTGTGTCATATCCTTTCCAAAATAAGTAATGTCAGGCTAACATTTACACTTTTGTATTTATATAAAATGTTATTAAACAACATTTTCCAAGCCCTTTTCTATTTTTATTCAGAACGTATTTTTACTTCAAAAAATTACATTAATCTTTTTTCTTTCTATGACTGTTATTTCATATACACATTAAGAATGCCTTATATATGATGCATATTTATGTTTCATTATAAATGTGTCTAACCTTTTTTCTTCAAGTTTCAAATACTTTTTTGTTATAAGCAAATGTAATTATAATGGAGATACTTCTGTTAATTGATCATTATGTCAAATGACTTTGAAAAAATATAATTAGTTAATAGCATACTGTAAGGGAAATTTCAGAATTATTTAACAACTCTTAAAAGGACTCAAAGAAAAAATGTTGAAATATAAAAATTGTCTACAAGTTTAATGTAGGCATCCATGGGAAAATATAAATGTATTATTGTTGTTAGTGAAAAAATGATTGGTAGTAAATTTATCATATCTGAATGTTTTAAAGGCAGGACAGATATCACTGGTCAAGAGTCCCTTTAAGGTCCTGACCTTAACTCCTATGTGTACCTGATTCCTGAATGTGCCGTAATGTTCTCGTTTCTTTTAAAATCTGTGACCAATGTCAAACAGGAAAGCATCTCAGTATGTTAATGGATGAAATCAATGCTGCCTTTATGGAAAATACGATAATTTCCAAAACAGCTCAAATTAACTCTTATTCAAACACAATGTCCTTGCTGTAAGAAAAAATTTTCCATATAGGTGTTGAAGTGAAAGGTGAATTCTCATCTACTAGACTCCCAATGAAGAGTTTTTACATTGATCTGCAATTTTTTCCTTGTTTAACCTCTCCATAATTTGTGTTCAGCAATTTCAGTTGTTAGAGAAATTTCACAACCCAATACATAGATGACAAATTGGTTGTATTACCCAGTAAAGGGAGCTTGGACATAACTAGGATCATCACCAAAGTAGATTTAATTTTTCAATGCCAGTAATATGTTGAGTGAATCTCAACTTTTCCTACCAAAAACATTCAAAGTTTTCTTGGGAACCTCGGAAAGGCCAATAATTCTTAAAACCTGGTGGCTAGTAATACTTTTGTAAAACTTATTGTTAACAAACTCATTAATACAAACACACTCACACATATACACACATACTCACCCCCTCATGGATAGAAGGAATTGTTGTCCTATAATTTCTAAAATGGATAATTAATTTCAGGGAGATCAACCAGGTAGACATAGCCTTATTTTCCCATTTGGGCTTTTCAACCCATTTTCAATATTTATCAAACTTATCTCTCATGCTGAGGCCTTTGAATAAGTTTTTCTATTGAGTCTAATTCTTAAATATTAATTTTTTAATTAAAATTCTTAGCAATTTTGTCACTATTGTGGGCTACTTGAAAAACAGATGTTTTCCTTTGAAGAGTCTAGATTTCCTTGTATATGAATATTTGGTCTTATTTTTCCTTATTTAATTTATTGATTAATTAATGGTTTAAGAGGAATAGATGTTAAAATCAGTCTGCAATCTTGGATTTTATTCTTTTCCATTTTTTAGTATAATTGTTTCTAAGACAGGATTTAGGAGTCAGACTGCCAAGATAGGAAACCAGATTTTCGGCTTCATATAGCCATGCTCTGGGACTTCATTTTACAACTACTCTCTGCCTAAGTATAATCATCTGTAAAACTCAGATGATAATAATATTCTCTTTGGGTAGTCTTTATGAAGAGTTAGTATACTATTTGTATAACTGCTTTCAATTTTAGCTGTCTAGTACAGGCAGGAAGAAACAATTATTAATTTTTCATATGATCTTATGTTGCTTGACACATAAAAGATACCAGTGAGAACTTCCTTTTTTTTTTTTTGGTGGGGGAGCAAGGAAGACAGGGTCTTGCTGTGTCACCCAGGCTGGAATTCAGTGGCTTGATCACAGCTCACTACAGCCTCAAACTTTTGGATGCAAGTGGTCCTCGCACTTCAGCTTCAGGAGTAGCTGTGCCTACAGGCATGCACCACAACACCCAGCTAATTTTTTTATTTTTATTTTTTGTAGAGACAGAGTCTCCCTATGTTGCCCAGTCTGGACTTCAACTCCTGTTCTCAAGTTGTCCTCTCATCTTGGCCTCCCAAAGTGCTTGGATACAGGCATGAACAACCACACCTGCTCGAGAATTTCCATTTTTGAGCAGAACACTCCAGGTTAAGAAAGGCATGATATCCTTCTGCTACACCTAGGATAAGAGAAATAAAAGACCAAAATTATATTTTCAATTCATCACAGAGCTGTACAAGCAAGGATGACCAGCTGAAATGAAATCCAGTACAAGGAGAGTCTGTAGATTGCAGTTATATATCAGTGCAATCCCTATCAAATCCCAGCAGATGCTTTATCACAGAAAGTAAAAAACTACTCAAAAAATATATCTGGAAATGCCAAATCAACAGATCAACAAAAGAAATTGATAATAAGTAACAAGTTTGGAGGATTACACTTTCTGATTTCAAAGCTTACTTCAAATCTGCACTAATCAGAATTCCATGGTACTTGCATTATGGTAGACAAAAAGAACAATGAAACACAACTGAGATTCCAGAAATTAACACCAACATTCGTGGTAAATTGATTTCAAAAAAGGGACTATTGCAATTCGATAGGAATTAATTGTTTTTCTCAAAAACAATGCTGGGAAAAATTGAAGAAGACTACCATAAGCAATTTAATAATCAATTTCCCTGAAACTGATGGATAAAGAAAGGATTCTGAAAGCAGCAAAAGAAAAGAAACAAACAATGTATAATGGAGCTCCACTACATTTGGTAGCAGCTTTTTCAGTCGAAAAAAGGCCAGGAGAGAGTGGCATACATATTAAAGTGCTGAAGGAAAAAAAAAGTTTTAGCCTAGAATAGTGTAACTGGAGAATATATCCTTCAAACATGAAAGAGAAATAA